GAGAGAGAGAGAGAGAGAGAGAGAGAGAGAGAGAGAGAGAGAGAGAGAGAGAGAGAGAGAGAGAGATGGATGAAGAAGCGAGGTGTGTATCGAGCCTGCTGGAGACGATGGGAGGAAGGTGTTGTGCTAGAGACGAGTCGGCTAGCGAGAGAAGTCTTTCTTGTGTCGTCTCGGGAAATGGACAAGCTTCTGGTGACAGCACTGACAGGAAGTGCGGGCCGTCTCGTCACCCGTCAGGAGCGGCGGCATTTCTGACGCTCTCTCTCTTGGGTGTGCTGAGTGTAATCCCAGACTCAGGCAGTTATTACGGCCTGCGCCAAGAGCAAGAATGGATGACTTACCCGCAGGCAGGCAGCGCAGCGAAGGAGGCGGAGAAAGCAGCTGTTGGCGGGAGATCGGCGCTGTGGCCGTTGTCAGACGAGGTGGTTTCTGTTAGACCTGCTTGTGCTGCTTGTGCAGAGGATGCTGCGGGAGGGATGGACACTGGAGATGGTAACCGCACAACGGGCTTTACTGTGTCGCCGAAAGGCGGGTTCATAGAGCGGGGTAGCCTGCGTCATAGCTGGGTCCCACAGGAGGAGAAGATAACCGTAGAAGGTGGTGTTCCCGCTGCCAGATGTGTGACGGACAAGGCGCTGGTGCGTGCCACGCAAAATGCGCAACCTGCGGAGGATGGGGTTTGGGGAATGGTGCTGGATGAACTGTTCAGTGCGAGCGAGACGGATATAGAGGTGATCGTTCCCGACTTTGAATCGTCTGAGTCAGGTGATCACTCTGCTGGTACGCACGAGAAGAGTTGTGGGAGGCTGGAAGTTGAATGCACCTTTAGATTGCTTGTGGATGCTTGCGAGTTGCAAGCCCAAGGCGAGGAATGGGTGAAGGAACTGAGAGACAAGCTCAGCAATCCGGAGGTGAAGACGATATATCTTGAGGATCCAGCGATGGCGGCGGACAGGAACCGAAGGCTTCATCGAGGACGTTTGGCGTTGGCATTCTAGGGGCGCTCTTGTCTAACTGTCATCAGCGTCTTCAACCCTGTCCTCTCGTGGTATGGTCGGTGGCTTAAGGCGTGGGAGGATTTGGACTCTACACCTTCATAGGCAAACTGTCCGCTCTCTCTCTCTCTCTCTCTGTGTCTCTCCCCGTCTGTTTCTCTCTCTACCTACACAGTAGCGTACGGGACACCGAGAGAGTGGGGATGTACTCCGGCCCAGGCGGGGAACGGCTCAGCCGTTGCAGCCGCTACTCCGTTCTAGGTCCAGCAGTGGCGGCTGCAACGGCTGAGGCGGCGAACGGCGAGCGGCAGAGGGACGGCGCTTGCTCTGTGTCCTTGCTCTGTGTCCTTTTTTCTCTTCTTCCTTATCTCATGATATTTCTTTCCGCTTTCACTCGAAGCAATAAGACTTGTCGCTTGCGCGTGCTTGCGGTCTTCTCGCCTGCGAGTATTTATCAGGTTTGCGCAGCTCCAGTACTGATCGGCTTTCTCCACGCTTATGCTTACGCTTGGCCTCGCCCGAGAGCTAGGCAAATGGGTTGGCCTTGTGTTTCGGGTGTAAATCAGTCAAAGAGGGACGGCTGTGGTCATGCTTCGTGCGAATGCGGATCGTCTCCGGCGTTAAGGTTGTTGGGTGGGAGCCAAGGAGGATGAGACTGACGTGGTACTTTGGAGAGGAGGAGGGGGTGATCCTTCCGGCCATATCCATTCTGCTCCTGGCCGCGCATTGGCTACAGCGCTGTCCTTCGCTGTCGCGAACTTGCAATCTTGATGCTTGCGCTAGCGGGGTATGGTCGTGGATGTTTGTCCTTGTATAACACAGAGAGAGAGAGAGAGAGAGAGAGAGAGAGAGAGGAGAGAGAGAGAGAGAGAGAGAGAGAGAGAGAGAGAGAGAGAGAGAGAGAGAGAGAGAGAGNGAGAGAGAGAGAGAGAGAGAGAGAGAGAGAGAGAGAGAGAGAGAGAGAGAGAGACGAAGGGTTGATGAGATCGGAATGCCAGCCAGCGACTGCATCGAGGCTGTGCTTACTTTCTATATGCTCGTCTTCTGCAGATGCTGTATACTTTCGGTGACCCGAGACGTACCTGTTCAACGCCTCAGCCCGCTCCCTTTGTTGCTGGACAAATGGCAGCCTCGTATAGGCCGAATATAAAAGATGGCTTCAAATGGCTCTCGACATCAAAGGTTGATTTTGACAAGTGGCGGGTGTTGGGAAACCCTCGCTCTGGACGACGCACGAGGCAGTGTGTGACGTGTGTGACGTGTGTGACGTGTGTGACGTGTGTGACGTGCGGCCATGAGCATTGTCTCCAGGCTGTTCGGGGGCGGTCTCTGTCCCATCGTCGCAGCGGAAGAACGCGAGCTTGTGCATGACATTGAAATGGTCGGCGAAGGAGATGTGGTGTACAGGGAGGAGTTGGGAGACAGTAGTAGATAAGTGCGGTGGAGAGCAAGGAGGGGGGGGGCGGGGGGTAGGAGGAGTTGAACAAGTAGGTGTAAAGGCGAAGAGCAGAAGTGGACGAGCAGAGTAGCAAGGGGTAGAGGTAACGGAGAGAACGTCAAGAGGAGGTGGGGTGGAGGGAAAAAAGAGGAAACTGAAGACGGGGGGAGCCATCCTTGTCGGGGGGTTTCGAGTCCGTACTGTTTCTAGCGAAAGCGCACATTTACAACGACGGGGCTGTGATCCACTCGATGGGGAGAAAGACAGTTCTTTGTGAAATCTGCTCACTGACTGGTTTTCAGCACGTGCCCATCTCTCGCTGCGGACTACTGCAGCGTCTCTCCGTCGCTATCGCGCCTGAGAGAGCAAACAGTGCAAAGATGAGCAATTTATTTGGTAGTGTCGCAATCACGGCTTTTTACAGCAATTCATTCAGGACCATAAAATTATGAAAGCCACTGCTACGTCCAGAAATTGTTGGGAACGATGTGCAGCGGAGGTAATTTGTCGACGAAACTTCGCTTGGTCATCATCGTTGACAGGAGGCTGTGTAAGAACTAAGAAACCAGCGAGAGGTGAGATGTGATGCCGCCAAGGGAGTAGGAGGGGCGGCAAGCAGGAGACGCAGTGAGCGGCAAGATCATCAAGTAGCGGAAGCTTTAGAGAGTAATAAAGAACGGAGTAACCAGTAGGTGGAGATGGCAAGAAATTAGAATGGAGATTGGGGGGTGCTCTTCACGGCGGAGAAGTACATCAGATTGTGCTGAGGAGCGCATTTGTGAATAACGCTGCCTAGTAACTTATCGCCATCGCCGTCGAGGTCGTCGTCGTCGCCGGCCATAGCCGTCTGCATCGTCTTGATCGTCGTCGTCGTTGCCGCGGTGACAGCCGTGTCGGTACTGTGAGATCGCCTCGCTCTCGAACTTGTGCAAGTGGAGCGGAGCTGAACGTTCTGAGAGCTTTCTGTGAATAATCGGCCTTTGGCCTCTGCATAATTAGCTCTCCACGGCCTTTGCGGGGGCTTATTGTTTCGGTCCGTATCATCATCATCGTCGTCATGATCATGCTGATGTTCGACGACGAGTGCTAAATTACTCGTCATCATCTTCGGTGGGTGCGGAATCGCTGCTAACTATCAACACTTGTCTGCGAGTTCGCCCTCGAGGCCTTCTTCAAACAAACGACGACGGACGAACGGACGTAAGCTCTGCCCCTTCTCGTTTGTCCTTTTTTGGTCATGCATGCGCGTTTCTCTAGTACTGGTACCTACCCACCCACCCACCCACGCACCCACCTTATCCTTGCTTCCGCATTCGCTTCCTCACACTTGCTCATCGACAGAATTCGGCAACATGGAGGGTCCGTGTGTTTGCCCTCCTACTTCCTCGTCCCTTCCCCCCCCCCCGCGCGCCGCCCTCCGCCCCTCACCCCCTTCCCCGCCCCGCCGCTTGTAGCTTAAATCAGCGTTATACGATTAATTATACGCTCTTCTTTCTTGGTTCTTTTTCTCCCGTTTTATATTCCTCTTTTTTTGGTCTGTCTCTTTTTTTTCCTCTTTTCCACTTCTGTTATTGCTCTTTTTCACAACTGGCCGCCATCTGTCCGTCGTCCGTTACAAGGGGCATCATCACCACACCACTCACGGAATGTGAAAACGGCAAAACATATGGCGGGTGTCTGTCTCTTTTTCTATGTTTTTGTGGTTTGATGTCCCATTTTGCTCATTGCGGCAGTAGTCCGGCGAGGCCCAAGATGTGCGCCGTACATCGGCCTGCCTCTCTTGTCCTTGCGTCCATTTGTCGCGCACCATTTGTCGCTCAGAGGGCTCGCCACCCATCTGTCGACAACTTTTTGCCTCGTCAAGTTGTCACTTTTTTTCCAAAGAAAAATCGTCGATCAATTGATCAAGCAGTATGCAGTCTCTCTATTATCCTGTCTCTTCTCACCTCCGCCCTTTTCTCCCTTTTTCTTTTTCACACATGTCCCTGGTTATTTCCGCTTTTGCACGTTCCCTCCTTGTTTCCTACAACCGTGTTCACATTTCGATCGAGACCCTCAGTTCCTGATCTTTTTTTTCTCCTCCTCGATCAGTATCTAGTCGTGTAGCTTAGCCAGGTGAAGAGATGATCATTTCGGTTGCAATCTGGAATCCAGGAGGAATTCTCTTTCTCTCGCTGCTCACGAAGGAACTTAGGGTCGCGATGTGTACAGGAGGAGATCTTCGAGGCAGGGGGAGGGGAGGGGAGAGATCAGGATGAAGAGGAGAGATGAATGTGGAGAAAGGGTAGGGGGGGTGAATGAGGATGAGGACGAAGAGGAGGGAAATGGTATCCGTAGGGGATCATGAGCATCGATCTTTTCGATTTCACCCTCTCCCTGATATCTGTGTTGCGGCCTCTCTCGAAAGCCGACCTGGCAAAAGCAGGCCGGTCTTTCTTTCTCTCTGTCACCGCGGCGGAGATAAAATGGGAGAGAGAGAGAGAAAGTAGAATCTCTTTACCAGCTGACCATTGGATTGATTGACGACGATCATCCCCAAAGGCAGCTGCGATGCGGACTGTATTGCCACAGCCATTTCTTGCCGATGCTCTCTGGCAAAAGCAAGCCGGTCTTCCTTCTCTTTGTTCCCTCGGCAGATAAAATGGGGGAGAGAGAGAGAGAGAGAGAGAGAGAGAGAGAGAGAGAGAGAGAGAGAGAGAGAGAGAGTAGGGTGTCTTAACCAGCTGACCATTGGATTGATTGGTGACGATCATCCGCAAAAACAGGTGCGATGCGGACTGTATTGCGACAGCCATTTCTTGCCGATACTCTCCCTCTCCTCTGTTTTCGCTCTTACCTTCCTCCTTTTCTACCCGTCTTCTTTGCCGTTTTTCTCGCGATTTGTGTCTCCTTGTGGTCTTGTTCCTGCTAGTGTAATACTAGTAATTAACGACGACGAGATTTATGGACGCTGCATTGTTTGGTAGGGAAGGGATCCATGGCGGTTACAGACTGTCGTGGTTAGGCATGAGCATATTTCCGGAGATACCTTTTTTTTTTCTTTTTTGTTGAGATAGACAAATGTATTTATCTATTCATCTTCGGAGAACTTGTTAATGGCTAACCAAGGTCGTCTGTAAAAGCCATAGATCGTATACTATAGTCGCGTTTCTTCCTGAAAACAACTTTTTTTTTTTTTTTTTTCTTTCACCTTGAGGAAAACTAGGAAGCGATTTTTTTTTTCTTCTGAATGCCGACTTGACCAAATACTTGGTACCGATTGATACAGATTGATTGACACCTTCATCAGTGGATATTGCCACAGGTCCAATAGTCTAATCGTCTTTCGAGCTATTACTACCTAGTATATTGAGCCTTATCCTTCATTTACGCGGCTAATCCAGGCAGGACTGAGTTTCTTTCCTTTCCTTCGTCTTGTTATCATACTATTTTTTTTTATTTTTTTTTTGCCAATGGCATAGCAATCGAAAAGATTTTCCTTTTTTTTCCCTATTTTTTTGAAAAGCTTGTCCTAATTTCGGCGTTAAGTTCAATCATTCCTCTCGTAGCACCACGCTGTGCGTAGAAGCCAGGGGTTCCTTGTATGCCTGCCGGCGGGGACTCTACTGGCTTCACCCGAAATACAACGCACGGTTATCATAACTGTATGTATTCGGGGCAATTTTGAGTCTAGATACAGCAGTAATGACCGTACGTTGTATTCGTGTGTAGGCAGTACTCGCTGGGTTTCTTGGATTATCGCTCCAGTTTCGTGTTTGTTATTCTAAGAGCACACTCACAGTAGGACTTCCCTGGATGTACATGACCGCTTTCCGAACCGTGGTAGATGCACCTGGCCGCAATTACGTCCACAGAGAAGTGGAAAAAAAGTCCTAGTGTGAGTATGCCCTACGAGCTTTCTTTCGACCCCCCACTTGGCCTGGGTGCAGTGTTTTTGTCGTTTCAAGGCGACGAGAGAAACCGAGTCTCTCGCCGATGATTCGTCGTCGCAACACTGACACCATACTCACACTGAGGTACCACTTTCCTAACTGCATTTGACTCCAATGACGGCTAAAACCTTGATGAATCTGACTGCATTCACGTCCAGAGCTTAGTAGATAAAAGTCCTACTAGTGGGAGTATATTTGCCCCTGACTGTTTGCACAAGCTTAACCACTCTCAGCTGACGATCCAAGGCACAGAGGAAAACCGCCCTAACTTCTTCCCCCCGCGAAACCCAACGCTCCCTGATGATGAATTTTATGCAGGCTATATCTTTCCGGTCAGGTATTACATCCATAATGAGGGTACGTTGTGTACTGGGGGGTTGCGTAAAGGGGAAGACGGTAGGTTCCTGTGCAGGCAGTGGAAAACATCCCCGTTTTTTTCCCTCCTAGTGCACCCTCGTTTTGTTTTGTCTAATCATTTATTGCTGCCCGTCGATGATGGATTTGCTATCCGTCGACTGTTACCCGTGCGGGGGCCTCTTCTTCTTTTTTATTTTTTGTTTATTTTATTTTATGGGGATTTCCTGTGCGCGACTTGTAATGCCAAAGATTACGATTTCCTTTCTTCTTCCACTCGTATCGTAATCTCTCTTTTCTCTCTCTCTCTTTTTTTTTTCTTTTTTTTTTTCTTTTGGATCGTTTTTTTTTTTTCGTCAGTTTTCTCAGAACTTTTTTTTATTTCATTCGTTTTTCAAATTTCGTCGAGCTTTTTATTTGCCCCGCCCACGTAAATGATGACGATGCCAGTCTCACTCCAGCTGAACTGACTGCTGAAGTTCTTTTTTGCGTGCGGTTAATGGTTTTTGTTCAGCGTGTGTTAAGCTGGTTGGTGTTGGGTTAATGTTAAACCTGTCATTTTCCCTATCTGCCCATACTTGCCCGCATTAGAGCACACTCACACTAGCACAATCTTAAGTGTATCTGACCGTAATTACGGCCCTACGTGAATGTATCTAACCGCTTTGACGTCGTGAATGAACTGAAAAAGTCCTAGTAAGAGTATATGCCCTTAGTTTTTCCGCCATTTACTCGTCTTTGGTAACATGTCATACATATATGGGTCCTCGCTGCACTACTCTCGAAATGCACAACAGACAAAAATCATGGCGGTGTAGCTGTCCATATTCTAGCGGAAGATTCATTCTCGTTTTGCACATTTCGAGAGTAGTGCAGCGCGGCCCATGTGACCGTTTCTTGTTCGAGGGGATGGTTTCTTTTCCGCACTGTCTTTCTTCTTTTTTTTCCCCCTTCCTTCTTTTTAATCCCCTTTTTGGTTCTACCCTCGCTTACTTCCTCCGTTCCTCCGTTCCTCTTCGATCATCTGCAACCCCCTTTTCTTCCCCCCCCCCGCACACCCCCCGCCACCTCCCCCCACGTTGTTTTTATGCTTTACAGTTTTTTATCGGAGTTACGCTTTTCTGCGCCACGTTGAAGTTGTTGCTGTTCATGGGCCTCTCCTCTCCTTCCCTGGATACTGTTGAAGAGAGTTTTTGTTTGGTCGGAGTTACGCTGTTCCGCGCCACCACGTTCAACCTGTCCTGAATGCTGTGGAACCAACCTCTCTTTCTCGATCTTTTTTTTGTTCTTTTCCGCTTTTCATTGCCATCCGGTCCTTTTCTTCTTTGATTATATTGCGGTAATTCTCTTTGAGTGTTTGCGATTTTTTTTTTGTTTTTTTTTTGTTTTTTTTTTTGTTTTTTTTTTTTAAATACCACATAGTAGGCGATCAAGGTTTGTTTCCATCCGGAGCGTGTTGATCTTTTTTTTTTTTTTCCTTGTTTTTTTTTTATTGTTTTGCTTTGTTTTGGTGATCGTGCCGGTAGAGCCGTTTTTTCTTCTCGCCTCCTCGACCCCTGTACCCTTGTATTGTGCTTTGTTTGTTTTTTACGGAGTTCAATTTTTTGTGAATGCGCGAAATTCGCCGAAGCTGCGATTTGCTTGGGCCCCTTTTTTTTTTTCCCACCATTGTACGTAGTGCACTCCAGGGGGAAGGTCCTAGTTTCCTGGATTCTGTGTTTCTGGTCGTTGATCCGCGTAATTTATCTATTTACGATTGAAGACGAAGACTCCAGCCTATCAGGACCTCGCCTCCGGACCGTCCGATATCATCGCCAGTCCACTTATTTTTCAGCACGATTTCATCGGATTATTTATTGGAATAAGCGGCGGACATAAATACAGATACAGCTACAATGTGCTTGAGTGTGCGTGCTCGCGCACGGCGCGGACGTGTGTGGGAGAGGGAGGGGGGGGAGGGGGGGGAGATGCGGCGGGTGTGACGCTCAGTCAGCGTGTCACCAGATCCCTACTCTCGCGCGCGCGCTGTCGGGGGGAGGGAGGGGGAGGGAAAGAGGGTGTTGTGAGACGCGGGACGGAATGTAATCCTCTGAACTGGGACTTCCCTTGAAGATGTATAAGGCCACTTTTCCGACCAGGCATCAAGCACCTGACCGCAATCACGTCCACAGAGAAGTTGACAAGCTCCTCCCGCCAGAATGCCCCGAGTCATTGCCCAAAATCTTCAATTGCTAAAGATTTGCGGCGGGAAACCGGTGGAGAAACGTGGTGGCAACGGCTCAAAATGTGTGGCGGGAATCGGCTGCGAATTCTACGTGGAATGGCTACTGCAAGGTTTATGGGCGGGAACGGCACAGGACATTTCTTGGCGGGAAGGATGGGTCGATGGGGGATTATTGCTAACCAGGGGCCAAGTCCCACTAGATGGTTTTCTTCATTTCTGGCCATGGATCTGTATATTCCAGCCACAATCGGCGGTCAAGAATGAAGAACACACGCCAGTGGGACCTGGCCCCGGTCTATAAGCGGGAAAAGACAAATGAGAGACGAAACAAAAATCAAGCCGTCACGGCGAGGAGGTTTCAAACACCGTCTTTGCGGAAAGCGAAATGCACAGGAGCGTTCTGAGCTGTGGAGAGGAACGAACGAAGAACGCAAAGGACATGAACTTTCTTATATAGCCGTGATGGGCCGATTGGACGTTTGGAACACTGAGGGCATACTCGCACGAGGACTCTCCTGGATGTTTTTGACCGGAGTTTTACCACGACCTGGATGCATCTGATCGCAATGACGTCCAGAGCGTTGTCGGAAAAGTCCTGCCGGTAGTTTGAGTATGCTCTGAGGAGAAGCGCATACACGCGAGGAGGACACGCACACGGGAGCGACAGAGGGAAACATCCTCTACTGTGTGCTCGTCTGTTTACTTTCGTACGCGCTTTTTGCTCGGCACTGCGGAGAATGTATGTATTTGTAACTTTGTATTTTGATGACGACAGTGCTTTTTGCCAAGGACGAGTGTTTTACTTCACAACACGTCGGAGCGGAGGAGCAGCAGCAGCAATCAATTTTCAACAGGTTGTGGACAGTTTTCGCTGCCACGGCAGTGGAAAATTTCCTAGTGAAAGGCCCGTCACAATGGGCCTCTCTCTCTTTGTCTCATCCCTGGTTCCCTCCTTCCCATTCCTCCGATTATCCTCATGTACGGTATATATAATGAGTGAGACTAGGACTGCATGTCCTCAGGTTCTTTTCCTTTTTCCTGTTTCGTCTTGTGCTTTTCTACTTCTTTCTGCCTGGGCATGTATCAGCCTTCCTGTCTTCACACCACCCCTCTGTGTGTGTGTGTGTGTGTGTGTGTGTGTGTGTGTGTGTGTGTGTGTGTGTTTGTGTTTTGTGTGTTGTGTGTGTGTGTGGGTGTGTGGTGTGTTGTCATATTCGCTATGCAGTCAAGAAAAGCACGACTGTGCCGAAGAGACTGTTTCGTCGGACTTTCACCGACTCATCAGGAGGTTGAACTCCGACACTCTGCCCAGGATTCATTTGACTGATGTGTGTGTGTGTGTGTGTGCGTGTGTGTGTGTGTGTGTGTGTGTTGTTTTAAGGGACACCAGATTCTCTCTCTCACTCCCTTCACAGATCGTCACAAGCCATCCATAACGAAAAAGTATAGATAGTTGTGTGTGTGTGTGTGTGTTTCGGGATCTTGAGACGCACTCAGATCAAGCAGTGGCAATTTTTTCCAATACGTCAAACCGAGTTTGCTGCGAAGTCTTCGTCCTTGTGCTTGTGCCATTACGTCGTGTCACAGTGGTCATTGGGCCTCCTCGCTCCACTACCCGCCCAATGTGCAAAATGAGAAAGAATCTTCCGCTAGAACATGTGGAAAGATAAACCGCCGTATTTTCGGTCTTTTGTTCACGTGGAGAGAAGTGGACCGAGGCCCATTGTGGCAAGTGTGGCATGTGACCTACTGTGCCCCTTCATGCCTTTTTTTTTTTTTTTCCCCGAGAAAAGATTACTTGCTTGCTCGTGAAAAAAAGAAATCTAAAAAATAAAAAATAAAAAATAATTCTGAGGCCGGGTCCTCACAATTTCCCGGAATGCCCAGCTGGCGTCTGTAATGTTTTTTTCTCGAACCCTTTGCGTTTGTTGTTCAGATCTGGGGCCAAGTCCCACTTGCAGCGTTCAGTTTCGGAATCTGGACACGTTCGTGGAGATGTGCAGAAATTGCTTCGAGTTTCCTCCTCGACCGCACATGTCCACAAACACGTCCAGATTCAGGTGTGTTGATGAAAGTCGTCACTGGGCGGGGATTTTGGCGGCGACGACTCATGCATGCCGGCACCAGGACGTTCTCCATTGAACTTCGCACATAATTGCAGTCGCATACGTACAGGTTCTGCCGTTATTATGGCCAGGTTCATCTAGGAAAGTCCTAGTGCGAGGATCCAGGGCCCAGTTATCTGTGGAATCTGGACAGGACGGCCTTGCAGGCCGTTTTTTTTGTAGTTAATAGTATTCGGGGGACCCCCGTAGCAGCCACATCCGTGCTCAAGCCTCCAACGCAGGAGCATGGGGGAGCTGCACCCACCCGCAGGTGCGATACCTGCTACAGCAGGTGGGCGATACCGGCCAGGGGTCTGCTGGTAGCATCAGGACAGAGCTCTTCTTCGATGGGCCAGTCGCTGTGGCTCCCCTCCGGTCGGCATTGAGCAGAAACTGCCGATTTTCAAGGCAAAACTTATACAATGAACAGTTTTCTATTTTGTTTTGTTCTTTTGCTGCAGTGCTGAGTAGGATGCTCGGGAACGCGGCGCGCAGACAGGCGTTTGGCAGAGGAACGATTTGTCCTGCCAGAACAATGGAATCTCTATTAAGAAAAAGAAAAGAAAAGAAAAAAGAATTCAAATTTGTAAAACCATTGACCGAAGTCAACGTGGATTATGATGTCTCTTTACGGGCTATTTTCTTCTTTTTTTTTTCTTTTTTTTCTTTTTTTACTCGATGGAAATTTTATTTCAAACGGGCCCAGTGCCCAAGGCTTACATCAACATAACAGAGAATAAGATGAAAATAGCAGAGGTCAACTGGCCTCGGGTGCACTCTTTAGGGGCTATTTTCCACCCCACTTGAAACTCACCAAATGTGCAAAATGAGGAGGGGCCTTGTGCGGCAGGGCAAAAAGATGAGAGGAAGGGTGGGTGGGGTCTTCGGAAGGGGTTCATCTGGACAGCCGAGTGCTGAGTACTGTGGGTGACTGCCATCCTTCTAGTATCCCACCTCTACAACAACAACAAAAAAAAAAAAAAAGAAAGAGAATGGGCCTTGCCACTTCAGGGCATGCTCACACTGGGACCTATAATCCCAAATTCTTTCCCCAACAAGGTAGAGGCCCGGTCACACAGATTTGCCGAAGTTCTAAATGTACCGTTTCGTGTGGCCACTTGTCAGCGGCTGCCTGTGTAGCCGCGGGGCAAGGAAATTTGCGGTCACCTCTGGAGGTGGCGGGGCAAATTTGCGGTCACCTCTGGAGGTAGCGGGGCAAATTTGCGGTCACCTCTGGAGGTGGCGGGGCAATTTTGCAGTCACCTCTGGAGGTGGCGGGGCAAGGGAATTTGCCATCACCTCCCAATGCCCTATTTATTTTTTTGCATTTTCTTTGAGAATTGGTGAAAATTCGTTCACGAAAGTTCTTGCACAATTTGTGGTTGGTGCTGTGCGAGCAGCAAAGTACCAAATCGCCATTGCTCCAGACGGCCAGGGCATTGTCCCATCTGAAAAGGTATAGCAGTGCGACTGGAAGCAATTCCCAAAACCTTAAGTCAGCCCTTCCCAAATCTGCATATTTTGTGGATTTGGGGTCGCAGTGTGAGTATGCCCTTGGTGTGGAAACGAAAACAGTGCCGCGTGACCAATTGGCCTACCTTAGTTGGAACACCCCTTAGAACACAAGTACTTGGCCCAGCTATCAATGCCGAGTCTGAAAACTGGCTGCACGCCGTCTTGCACCCCCAAGCCTCCGGAAGTTGCGGGGCCATTAACGGCAATGCCCTGCGGCTGATGTATGGTTCACGTACTGGTGGTTTAACTGTTAAAATGCTAAGGTCAGGCACCCCGTTTGTGGATGGCCCAATAAATTGTACCCGTTGGGGTAGGCAGTCGTTGATGAGAGAATGGAAGGGCTGCTCACAGCACCTCAGGGGGACTAAGGGTGATGCCTGTGTGACTGGGTATCGTAAAGGTCTACAGGTGTGGGATGCTCGAAGCCATTAACCTTGGGATGAGGCGGATGGTACCTGCGCTCTTGAGCTGAAATGCCAAGTGCCCAACTTTGAATGTGTACAGTGTTTATTTATAATTAAAAAAAAAAAAAAAAAAAAGCAGACAGGAACACGAGCACCTCTGTACTCCTATCGAAATGGTTGGAGCTGACACCCGCGGCCTAGGCCGCGCCGCGGGCATTTAGACCGCTGCGGCCGAGATTCTCGGCCGCGGCTGCGGCCGATGAGGCCCAGTCCGCGTCTGTCGGATGGCCTGCTAAAGGCATCATGAGATACATCGTGAGGAATGTATCCCAATACCCGTTACTTGTTCATCCTCATAAATGTGTTCGGGGACACATTTTATTGACACGGTACATCACTATGAAGACTTACGTGAAGGAGATCGTACCAACCCATGAATTGGGGTGCACAGCTGTTCTTCATAGTTTTATGTGCTATTTCAATTCATTTTAAATCAGAAAAAGATCCATTCACCCAAATAAAAAAACACTTTGTATTTTCCAAAAAACCATAAAACTGTGTCACACGTCGTAGAATACTTTGGGTCCAGGCCCCAGGGAAATGAGGTGTTTAAAAAAAAAAAAGCAGATGCAAAATTTGAAAACAAGTAAACAAAAAAAGGATTTGATTGATTGATTGATTGATTGTGTGTGTGTGTGTGTGTGTGTGTGTGTGTGTGTGTGTGTGTGTGTGTGTGTGTGAGAGAGAGAGAGAGAGAGAGAGAGA